CAGATCACACATATACCACACACACACACCATACACACACTACACACACAAACACCACACACACACAGACCACACACACACACAGACCACACACACATAGACCACACACACACACACACACCACGCATACACACAGCAGGTCATCCTCATATATTTTTTCCTAAACTTTTTCATTTTTGATGATGTCTTGAAATAGTACAATTAACACAGCCCAGGCAGGCGGCTGATGGGGATGGAATAGAAAACAAGGCTGATAGCTGCTCGGGGTACATTTCCTGGATCATACAGGTAGGCACTGGGCATCTTTCCCAGCTCATCCCTTAAAAACCCGATTAAGACTCCGTTGCCAGTATAAACTCCAAGAAAGAGGAGCTGGTCCAACAGCACAGAGTAGAACTCAAATATTAACATCTCAGACTCCATGGTGGATTCAACAATAACGTGACTAGTAGGAAAGTACTCTTGTGTCCTACAAAGATTTGTCACTTGTATTGGTTTAATAAAATGCTGATAGGCCAGTAGCCAGGCAGGAAATATAGGTGGGCAACCAGACTAGGAGAATTCTGGGAAGAGAAAAGGCTCAGTCTGCAGTCACCACCCAGATGCAGAGGAAGCAAGATGAGAATGCTTCACTGGGTAAGGTACCAAGCCACTTGGCTAAACATAGATAAGAATTATGGGTTAATTTAAGTTGTAAGTGCTAATTAATAATAAGCCTGAGCTAATAGGCCAACCAGTTTATAATTAATATAAGCTTCTATGTGTTTTGTTCGGACTGAATGACTGCAGGACTGGGTAGGACAGACACTTCCGTCTATAGGGAAGGATGGCTAGGGCTTATCCTTCTCATAAGAACTAATGAGATGGTCCTGCCTTGAGCTTTGGCACCTTCTGGAAAGAAAAGCCTGTTCAGGAAGAGGAGATGGGGAAAATCTGAGGAGAGAGGTGTTATTGCACCATCACAATTTGTCTCAGAACAGAGAATATTCTTGGAAGCATAGTTTGAGTTGGCTAGTCCATCAAGAAGGAAAAGAAGTCCCCAAGCATCTTACTTTGCCAATACTGATGCTCGAAGAAGAACTGGGGATCAGCACATCAGCTGGAACCTCCGCTGCTAATTCTGGTGACTTCTCTCTCTGCAGTTCCACATAGCACAAGGCTACCATAGGATCTGTGAATGGTGGCTCTAGGAACCATAGAAATAGCATTTTCTTCTAGTTCTTGGCCAGAAGGAATGTCTCACTTAACTGTCTCAAAATTCTTGGCCTGGTTAAGTCAGGCGCACAGGTGCATGTGCTGATTAAAAGACAGCACAAAGTTTTAGGGAGGGGCTGTTTACATATGGTGGGTACCACTGACTCCTGGCCACAGGCCACAGGCCACAGGTAAGAACATCACACAGGCCACAGGTAGGAACATCACACAGGCCACAGGCCACAGGTAAGAACATCACACAGGCCACAGGTAGGAACACCACACAGGCCACAGGCCACAGGTAAGAACATCATCACGGGCACCTCTGGCCTCACAGCACACAGAGACATTCTCCTGTGGTCTGACTGAAGAAGAGAAAAGGCACTTGGTAAAACCTAAAGTTATTCACATATTGATTCTTTTCACTTCAATTCCTCAAAAAAAAAGATATGCACAATTAAGAGCACATTTCCAAATCTCAATGGGCCCAGCAGTGTGTGTTTCTTGATTAGTCACACTCTCAAACAGTGGCTGTGGAGAAACTTAGGAAAAAACTCCAATGGCAGTTCCAACGGTGGATTGGCACACATCATTCATTCTAGTTGAATTTTGCAAAGACTTTTTTCTTTAAAGAGAAGCCACTTAAAAATTAGAAGTGCTATCTTTGATCAGAAGCACACGGGACACCTGTGCTGTGTAGCTCCTCACATCCCTGATGGGACTGCCCTAGAGTTCTTATACAATCTTTCTACTGTATAATAGGATTTTAAAATATACAGACTCTGAGGAACTATGGTCGGGTCTTTGTTTAGTTAAAAAAAAATTAAAAAACAAACAGGTTATGCTATAAGCCACCAAGGCTCACGTTTAGACTCTGGCTTCTCCTATGGGATGATTTCCTGTCTCTCCTGAGGCTCTAAGGCTGGTTGTCAAAGGCTCTGAGCACTGCGGTGGACTCCCAAAGAGGCTGAGTCTGCACAATGGGTACCAAAGTTTTCACAGCAACTTAGGATGCTGCTCCATGTGCGGGGGGAGGGGAGGTTGTGGGGGGGGCATGAGTTCTGCCCATTGTATTCACACTGCTCAGACTGTTTGCAGCTGCTGTCCACAAGGGTCCTGAGGAAATTTGATGAGAGAAGGTCCTATACTATATCCTACCTGCATACTCCATCCCAAGAGCCAACAGCCCTTGTTTGCTCAGAGGAGGCAGAAGAACCTGGGCACATGGGGCAGATGGAGCCTGGGAACACGGGGCAGAAGATCCTGGGTGCATGGGGCAGATGGAGCCTGGGTGCACTGGGTAGATGGAGCCTGGGTGCACTGGGTAGATGGAGCCTGGGCACATGGGGCAGATGGAGCCTGGGAACATGGGGCAGAAGAACCTGGGTGCATGGGGCAGATGGAGCCTAGGTGCACTGGGTAGATGGAGCCTGGGTGCACTGGGTAGATGGAGCCTGGGCACATGGGGCAGATGGAGCCTGGGCGCATGGGGCAGATGCAGCCCGGTACTGTCCATCTTCCTCTCACCCTCATTCTCTTTTGAGACTTTCCATCTTCCTAGAACATTTCAAGCTTTGGGCCCCCCTCTTCCTGAGGCAATTTTGCCTCACCCCACCTCACCTGACCTTGCTTGTTTGTTCTCTGGCTTAACTGTTGTGTGCTTTAGACCTAACTTTCTCAGAGTCTTACCAAACTAGGCCTGGGTTCATGAGAACAGGGAAGCCCCTATTATGTACTCTCCCTAAACTTCCTCAAGACACTGACTATGGAAGTCTATATCTGTATTGTTTGTCCTTCTTAATATCTGTCCTCGTCTTAACACAATAAACCCCATGAAGACTGTATACTTTATGAGAACTCCGTCTCGTTCATCCCCATGCCCCAAACCCTGGCTCGAAATAAACAGGAAGAATCGCTTGAATGAAGTTTGGACTCAGAGCCGTGGTCAGAACAAGGACATCGCCACCTTATGCCACCATCACCTGGCAGTCAAAATGCCAGAAATCCAGTATGGCAGCAATATATATGAAAAGAACATTGTACACAGGCAGGGGAGGCAGGGCAGGGAGAGGTCAAGAGACAAGGATCCAACTTTTGCTGCAAGTGCTCATGTGGCAAACCCACCGGAAGGCATCGCCCAGTATTTTGATATGTCTGGTGGCAGTACTGTCGACGTAAGAAATCCCTGCGCACAGAAACACACACACACACACACACACACACACACACACACACACACACTGACCCTATTTCACCTGATCATGTTGCTTTTATTTCCTCTGATTAACTTTCATTGCTGGTCAACATTAATTTCATTAGAAAGGAATGAAGCATTTTCTCCGTTCCCAGATTTGTTGCTTCATTTCATTTGCCAAATCCTGCAATTCATAACAGTTTATGGAAGCTTGGTTCCAGTGAGCCTAAATGGCACATTAAAATGTCACAGGGAGTGCTCCCAGCTTTGGGGAAGTCTCCTGGTAGCAGGGTGCTAGCCAGATTCTGTCCCTTCTAGTACATATCTGCTGCATTTCTCTGCCACTCTGCCTGTGGCAGCTCCTTGGAGCTTTTTCTGCAAGCCTGCTGGCGCTATACAACAGTGTGGTGCTGTGGCTATCTGGATCCTACAGGCCCATTGATGTTGTGCAATTGGCCTTAGCAGGAGTACCTGACCACAGTCATGGAAATGCTATAAACCAGGAATTCCCTCCACCCCATGCCCAGCTGCCCAGACAGTTAGTTTACCGGCACACCACTGTCTGGTCAAGGCATGTTCAGTAGGTCACTTGTGTTCATCCAGCAGGTCACTTTCTGATAGTCATACCTCCCAAACCAGGTGATACAACTGAAGAATACAGCCACGCACTCCCATGTGAACCAGATTGCCAATTTCTTACTGAGTGCCATAAACTTTGGCTTTGCAGAACCACTAAGCTCTCATCCAGCCACTGCTCAGTGATGGAGACACACATGTACCCTTTACTAATGCATGCAACACACCTTTCTAGAAAGTACTGAACATCTGCATCACAACACTTAAGTGTCAGATAATTAATACATTTGACAAAATACTGTCCCACTAATGTCACACAGCAAGGTTGTATTAAAAACTGAATTAATTCTCTTCCAACATATAAAACAACATTCCTTCCCTCGCGGAAGGTAATGCTTGGGAAAACAAGAAATAAACCCACTTGTTAAGTAATAGCTACAATACATGAAATAATTTCTCTTAAGTAAAAGGCATGGTACATGATAAGCCTTCATTGGTGTCCTGTAAGCTAAAGGAAGAATTCAGGGAAATGGTGAGACTTTGTTTCCAAGCAAATACTGTGACCAGGCTCACAGGTCCGAGTGTATCTTTGTAAGGGAACGCTGTATCATACCTTGTGTTTGGCTTCAGGTTCTCAATGGGCAGGTGGGTCACTGACGAAGTCTGTGTTGACCATTTGTTCCTGATGAAGTCCTCGTAAGAGGCACTGTAGACCAAGTACCCTGGAAACAGGAAGAGGGAGGAGGCTGGTGAACATCAGGGAACCAGCCCTAGTTTGTTTTCCTGATGTTCAATAAACACCATGACCACCAGCAACTTGGGGGAGGAAAATATGTATTCCACTTTACACTTCCAGGTCATACTTCATCATTAAGAGGAAAGAAACTCAAGCAGGAATCTGGAGCAGAAACCAGAGAGGAATGCTGCTTACCTGCTTGCTTCCTCCTCTGTTTGCTCAGCTACCTTTCCCAGACAGCCCACACCCACATACCTAGGAATTGTACCACCCACAGTGGACTGGGCTCTCCCACATCAATTATCAATCAAGAAAATGTCCCGCAGCTGTCTCTATGGGCCAACTGGGTAGAGGCAAAGCCCCAGTTGAGACTCCCTCGGATAATTCAGGGCTTTGTCGAGTTGACAGCTGAAGCTAAGAGAGAATCAGATCACAAAGAGCTATGACAGGGAGGGGTAATGCATGCATACAGTGAGGACCTCAGGAGAGCAAGCATCACCGTGAGACAGGATGGTACACCTCAGTAACTTCTGGTGAACCCAGAGAAGAACGAAGTGGGGGAAAATCAGTGTTCTGCGCTTAGTATTTACTAAGCTAGACTCAGACAAATGTCCTGTTTTCTCTGTTATATGTGTAAGATAGGTAGATAGATAGATAGATAGATAGATAGATAGATAGATAGATAGATAGATAGAGATATAAGAGATATAATACATGTGTGCATGTATAGATAGATAGACAGACAGACATAGAGAGCAAGAGAGATGACAGAGATAGAGAGATGATTGACAGGTAGATGATAGATGGATATAGATAGATGATAGAAATAGATAGATAGATAGAGAGAGAGAGAGAGAGAGAGAGAGAGAGAGAGAGATGATAGATCATATAAATGACATGAAAGTAGCAGAAAGTGAGATTAAAGGGGGAGGGGAGAGGGTGAATATGGTCCATGACACATTGGAATGAAAATGTGATTCTGCAAACCATCACTGTACAACATATATGTAAGTAAGAACTCAAAGGATAGCCAAAGCCCAAGTTTCCAGGTAGAACTACACAGTTGGCCTGTACATGAAGTGAAGAATACTGGCAGTGAGTCCCAGGCATGTGGCTGTGACTGAAGATTTACAGTGACCCTCACTCGTTGGTCATCATTCA